CTTTCACATCGTTCTATTTAACCACAATAATTGGCCGCCATTTTACCCACCAACGCCCGTTATAATCTGAACCACACCTCCTGTACGTTCTGCGCGTAAAAATTCCCTAGCTCGTTTCGACATCAGCGAACTTGAAGTTCTGAGAACCTGCCGAGACTCCTAGACTTGTTTCAGATTCGCTTGCTTGACTGGAGGCGCAGGCTAAGACCGGGCATGATGGACAAAACACGTACGGACGGCAGTAGTTTTACGGCTGAATTACATTATCAAAAAACAATCTCCATCTATTTACTCGAGTGATCTTTTCTATCAATCGATTTCATGCATTTGCTCATTCATGTAACCGCTCGGTATCGATAGAATGACGTCATTCAATTATCATATTGTATAAACAAAGTGTTGGTTTATGCCAGCGAATTCCGTTACTCGTCTGGAGTCATATCGTTATCATAATTTATAGTATTATCACAGTCTGCCCAATAAAATTTGACTTTTCCTCACAGCCGTAATGTCCTTTAAATTTCTAGCGCGACCAAGCGCCATCGGCGAGGTCGCTCATTATGATGACAGGAGGAGAGGCGGGTTTCAATAATAATAATTATTAATTATTGAATAATCGTATTGAAGCAGTAGACCATCTCTAACAGGTTCGTTCGCTAGAAAAGCACCAGTTCCTCAAAGAACCTGAAAGCATCAATGAGACTGAAGCTCGCACTAGTTTTTTATAAAAAATTCTGAATTAATTAATTTCAAGGTTTATGACATCAAATGTCGACAGAAAATTGGATTCCGCACTCAAAAACTCAATATTTTGATTTGGACTAATATTTTTTTTCAATATTTTGATTTGGACTTTAGTTGTCGGAATATATTGGGTGAGGTATAATTCATATTCAGTTCATTTAGCGCTATGTAGTATCGAAAAGATGCTATGATATAGATTCAAATTTCCCCAAGATCTTTGCAGTCAAGCAGCTGTTTGTACTCGTAGCTTCGGGTGCTTAATGGTGCTGTGGAGGATTACGGTGAAGGGTACAGAGCAGGACACGGCGCAGCATACGGTAGAAGATACGGAAAATTGTGCGTAAATTCTGTTACGAAGGTTACGACCGCAATATGCGCTCCGCAGATCGTGAAGCCTTAGCAGAAGCTTCCAAGGAAATTCTTGCAAGGGCTGGTGAATTCCGAAAGGACACGATTTTATGGTGGATATGGAGGAGGACTTATTGATTTCGTGGAGAACTTAGTACTGGAATTAACCCTGTGAGAACGGCACAGCCAATTACTTTTGTTAATTTTTCAATCGTTCAAATTGTTTCAAACGATATTTCAAACGATTCGCTTCAGTAATTCTGTAAAAGTTTATGTTCATAGCATGCACAACTTTTATTTTTGCTGCTAAATAGTGTTCAGGCCGCTAAGCATCCTGCATCGTCCATATTTTACACTCACTATATTTTTTCGATGTGCATCAAATTTAGTTCTTAAGCGATGAAAAATCTCCTTATGCATTAATTCCATAATGTCTTACTGATGAATTCCTTGAACCATGGATAATAAAATACGATAAAATATGATTTTTGTGAACACAAGAAGCCTCAGCAAACTGAGCATACGTATTTTCATTGCGACTGACTTTTTCGTAAAATAACAGACTAAACAAGAGTAATAAGTATTATATTTTATGTGAGCAAAAGCATAATTTTTTATACGAAACTGAAGACAAAAAAATATGTAATGGTAAATGCAATCAACAAGTTATAGTTGCAAGTTATAATTTTATCAAACTATGATTCACTAACATAATAAATTGGCTGTCCATAAAGTACAATATTGACAACGAAAAATAAAAAAGCATGTTTCTTTATTTATTTTATGTATTTATTTATTTAAAGTATTTATTTTATGAGAGAATTTTGCTGCGAAAGATTTATCTTTTGCCTTCTTGCTGCGATCGCTGATTCTGTTCCGTCCATGAAACTCCAGTCTAAATGGAGCAGCAATTGAAATATTTTCATCCATATGGTGGTTTAGCGATAATATTTGTTTGTCGATGCACAGGTTTTTTGGCTTGACAGTCTCAAGGTTTGTTGGGTACCTATAAGACGGAGCGACTGACGTAGATTTATTCGATACAGAATGGGTGGCAATAGCATTCTGTGTCTAGTCAAGGGTCTCACTATCTAGTGGTCACGTGCAGAATTGATATGTCAAACATTTTTCGGAATAAAAGCGCATTACATAAACACTTAATAATTAAAAGGAATTACTGTAACCCTGTGAGTATGAAGATCTTGTTATTTAAGTGGGGGCACATAAAGTGAAACTGAGATGAAGAAAACTGAATTAATGTAAGCGCATGATCTATAAAGAATTTCATTCTACAGGCCGGTCAAACCAGCTTTGCTCTGGATTAATTCTCTTTGAGACTTGAAAATTATATCGCTGTAGGGACTGCGTAATAATTGTGCAATTGCACAAGAATCTCTGACGTCTTTCTGTAGGTTTTAATGCAAAAATGTTTCCTAATTTGTCTGTGATCATTTTTTTCATTTGGAATTGGATTAATTGGAACTCTAATTATTCACCGATATTTGCCAGTTGTAAAAATAGATTTAACTGATATATATTGTGAGAATAAATAGGATAAACAATGCCTGCCTCATACGTATGTTGATATATGGAAATTAAATATTTGGTTTGTATTATATGTTGCTTGTAACTGCCGGAATTGTTAAGTTCACAATATAATTACAATTCATTAATCATGAATAGTTACGAAGAATTTGGGTCGCCCCTTTGGCGAATCATTTTTTTTTCAAATTTCCATTTTGCAACATATGAAACGTTTTTACCTTCTCATGTGTATAAACACATATGGCTGCACTCTTGCAATTTAAGATACAGTTGAATTTTTTAAATTTTCTGTTGATCTGTCTGCTGCAACTAACTCCCCTGACGCGTAGGCTAAAATTAATGAGCGTTGATTAAGGTTTTATCTATTCACGTATATTCTTAACTCACTATGTTGACAAACGTTCAGTATAATTATCTTCACCACTACGACCATTTACACATGAATTTAAGTTATCGAATATTGTTCACTCATGGCATTAAGGGACAGCATACGCTAGAGGTTTCATTTTCTGCAACCCGTACAGCTCAAAGAAAACTTTTTCTGTATGAGTAACTCTTTTAGTAAGTGTAGTTGAAAGTAGTCCATAGTAAGTAGTCTTTTAGTGAGCCCTTTTTTTGTAGTGATCATCCATTTATGTTCACACAGCGATTATGAAAAATGCATTATTGTTTGAAAACTGAAATTAAGAAATGTTTACGGCTATTACTAATAGTAGTAGCTATTACTAATGCTTACTAATTTTAGTTTTGTAATTTCCTGAGTATATATTAATTTAATTTACGAATCTTGGGTTCACAATTTCTTCTTCGCAATATATTATCACTCGTTACTGAAAACAGGAATATTTCGAATCAATAATTAGTTACAAAAGCTGAAATGAATGAATCATTTCTCTTTAATGAAGAATTTACTAACCCCATTAAAAAATTAATGTTCCTTTAGTGATCACAGTTCAGAAAAATTACATATTGGTTGTAATTTGACCATTTGCTATTATTTAGATACATTCGAAAATTGATTATAGTGCTATTCCGTTTGTATATTGGATTAATCGGGCACTGGACGCAGCTTCTGATCACGTGAGAATTTCTTCTTTGGACTGAATTCGAATGAAGCTATTGATGGATTATTGAAGGTCAAAATGTAATGCTCAACTGATAGTATTTTATGTGTCTTCGTTCAGAGGTTAAGGTCGAAAATAATGACACTGTGGACGCTTGAACGTATGTTCGAAAAATTTCTTGCGTTATTTGTGTTATTAATAAATGGTCTATTTTGTGCCCAGACTTAATTTATCTCGCAGATACTGTTTCCAATTGCTTGTTATTGATAATAAATTATACGAACAAATTTAAATATAGTTCATCTGCAAAATCTATAGTTCTTTGGATCTTCGAAGACATATATTTGGCCTCGCATAAATGCGATATTATTACTAATGACAATTCATTCAAGATATGGGCTAAAAAGCTTTCCGTTGATATACAATTATATTGTGTTCGGATGACTACCTGGCTTCTCAGGACATCCAATCCCACTGCCCGATAATTCTTGTCAACTGGGTCGCCAGTGACCCAGCCTTGGAACACTCGTATGGCCTATGTTGCCGCTTACAAAGTCTGACTTTTTTAGCTTTATTGGGAATATATTATCTCAGCAAACGCATGTTGATGAACTTCAAGCTATATTCCTCGATATCACGGTATATTGCCTTGATTCCAGAGTATATTGCTTTGATGTGATGCATCGAATGGCGATTGTGGTTTATAATAGATAATATATTCTGTACACAATTCGATTTGTGGCCGACATGTGAAATAGAATTACATATTCGAGATAATTGTGCAAAAAATATGAAAAAGAAATTCGCCTCCTTTAGTGTAAATGATATCAAATGAATTGTATACGATATCAGTTATTAACTGGAGCTCAATAGTTTTGCCTATGTGCAATTTTCTCTGAAATTGTTAGATGTAATCTTAAGTGTGTCAGTTCAGGAATTGATCGATCGGTGTTTCTTCAAAGATGGAAGAGATCATGCAAGGAAGGCAAAAATTTCAAGATCTATGAATTAAATTGATCATTCTATGAATAAACCTCATTTTATATTATCATATCCTTGCTCATATGATAATTTTATACATTTTCGTCCACGTGCATGACTGTGCAGAAAATAATCGGAACATGAACAATCATCCCAGAAAATTTCTCCTTTTTTAGGGTGTGAACACTTCTGCTCTCACCAGCATCGCGGCGAAGGATACTTTTGCGGAAGTACCGAAAAAAGGCTTTAAAAAACAATAGGAAGTACGACAAGTGAACTTGTAGAGATCCAAGCGCATCGTATTTAAGGAAGAGGTCATCCACTTAGGCATCAGTTGAGCTTCGTTATCTGAACACAGCAGCCATGAGAATTCTGGTCAGTTGCGTTAAATTTGCATTTTGAATTTTAACTGAACTAAGCAATTCACTAAAGCTATTTTAAATGTATAAAATTAAAATTTTTTTCATGGTTAGCTTAGTAAAGTGATGTATTCTGAGCACAAACAGTATACAAAATTTTTAGTTGAATTCAATCAGATGAGATCCAAGCAAGTTCCATATTTTTGGAAATTGTTGGCAAATTCTAATGTAATTAATATCACACGAGAGCACACGCAATTTTAATAAGGTCAATAAAACAGCTAATTCAATCATGTAATAAAAGTTAGGTCACGCTTCGTAACTTTTTGAAACGTCACCTGAGTGCCAACTTCAATTGATTCAACAGTGAAACAAAATCTAATTTTCTAATTTAATAAATCCTTTCTTGTATTTGCTAGTCAGAAATATACTGTTTTTGTTACAACACATGAACACTCGTCCTGAATGTACACAGATAAAACACTTTGTGAGAAAAATCGTGTTAAAGAGAGTGGTTGTAACCATTAATGGGCCATCACAACCATTGTTGTAATGGCCACATGTTTGACGCAAAAAATTCGGCTCTCTATAGTGCGTCAAATTAGTGTTACCGACAGGCAGTTATGTACGAATAGCGTTGACGGTGGTTAATGTATCAGTACATTAAAGGTTAAAAAGATATATTTGCATGTCATGAATTATTGTAATTAAATAGCAAAAGGGGGGGAGGGGATTCTAATTACAATCTGCCTGAAGAGCCACTAAATTTTTACGACAAGGGGGGCTAAGGCCTCTGAGATTAGTGATCATATTCAAGTTAATAATAACTGATGGTATGATTAATTATTTTATTCTATATTCAGGTTACATTATATTGAATTTATTATAATATTTATGTGAAACATATTAGAAATTGTAATAAGAAACATAAAATTATTTGGGGCTTATAAATATCTGAGGGAGGCTGAACCCGCCCTATATTAGGCCTAATAACTTCACTGCATTCTCCCAATAGCATAAGACGGAATAAGTGCATACATTAAGACACGTGCGTGGCCCCGCTGCATGGACGCTGGCAGGGTCAAACCGCTCGAGCTCTTTTTTGTCCCATTCCTAAAAAACAATGGAGTTGACCTCACTATTTTCAGAGGCGCAATTACAGTAGCCCACGCATGGGCCGTGATGGCTGAGATTGCTTCATGCAATTAGTTTGCAAAAAGGCATATTCAGATTTGTAAACGTGGATTGATCATGCGGCAAATGTTAGTGAGACATGCTGTCCAACATGGTAAAATGGTGTTTCGACCAAGCGGTGTGTTATGGTGAAACATTTTTCTAAGTGAAATGAAAGGTGAAACAAGCTGGCGGGGCATGTTTTCAATCAAGAAAATTCATTAGATACTTTAACGCAAGACATCTAATCTGGTATAGACGTCGGAAAACTCAAAAATAAATCGTGGTAAATACATGTTTTCAAGCAGTGAAATGGTTGGATTTGTGGCCAAATTTCCATAACTACTGAGGATTCGATACAGTGAACATGGGCTTTCACACGCTATTTACTGTAAATCCAGAAATGAATTTTCGAAATTTGATGAGATTCTCATAAGTGTATCAAATTCATTTTTTATTACAGTAAAATATTACGCAACTTTACAATAATTATAATCCGACGATTTTCATAATTAGTAATTTTAACCCTCAAAGTGCGGGGATTGAAAATTGGCATGAAGCTTTTATCTGAAACTTCATCAAGCCTTGCCTCACAATCGATGCCTGTATAAAAAATTATAATCCCCTGATTTTAAAATGTTTAAAATGAGTTTTCGTGGTTACAGAGCATCGTGCTGGTCGTGGCGGTGGCAGCAGCGCTGGTGGCGGCCGTGCCACAGCCGCAGTCGGAAGAAATCGCGGCGTTCAAAGTCCGCGTTCCGCGCAGCGCGGCCGCCGACGACGAGCAAACGCTTCTCGTGCGCGTCAAACGCCAGTTTGGTTTCCTTTCCGGCGGTCGAGACAGAAACAGCAGAGAAAGATACGATATTTCTACGGAAACTGTGGATAATAACCGCAACAATGACATGGCTACAGGGACCGCCGTGCTGATCAAGGCGGGCGTCATGTCCATCATCATCAAGGCCATCCTTGCAGCCGTCCTAGGCGGAGGTGCCGCTGGTACGACAACAGTTGCTCCGACGGGATAAGGATATATCCCTGCAAATATATTTACTTATAAGATCATAGTCTATTTTACTTTATCATCACAAAATAAATTTCTATTAAAGCTATACATATAGTGTCCTGTTCAATCTAGAGTTTTTTGGAAAACTTCCCGAGACAAATATTTTTATTTTACTTAATTTGAACAAAGGTCTGTTTTTAAGACTCGTTCATGCTTGTATCAATCACCGCTTCATTTATTTATTTAGTCATTTTTATACCTACTATAATATCTTATTTAATTATTTATTTCCACAATAAATGAAAAAATTTGCCTTCAACATTTATTTTCCTTATTATTATTTCGTTTCTGGAGACAACTATTCATACATCAAGGCTGGCAAAAATATGTGAAGGTAGCAAAACGCAGTCCAACATTTATTTTTCTAGAGATCATACGATAAAAATTTAGTGGCTTTTTATTTTTTGAGTTTTGCACGAAAGAAAAACTTTCATAAAAACGCAAAATCATGCGAACATCACACAGAAAAAATCATTATAATGTCCCTTCTCAAAAACTACACACTTATTCCTAACAACTGATTTGAAAACATGTGAAAAACAGTGTGAATTTTTGGCACGAAAATGTCACATTTCCATTCAATTACGATCAACTATGACCTTAAGTTACAACCGAATGCTGAATAGCAAAGGTACAAAAAACGTCGGCACAGTAAGCCGATTACTTGCAATGCAGGCAAATTCTTGAGGCGATGACACACGATTTTCTTAAAAGGTTCGTGCATGAGAAGTGGTTAGATTGCACAACAAATCATGTACCAACAGACCGATGAGGATCCTATTATATAACATGGCATTATTATGCACTCATGAACTCCAGATCAAGCTGACAAAAACTAATCAAAACGAGCCAAGTTTTAACTCCTGCAACTTTCATATTTGGCCAGTAAACTACACTAATACTAAATAATCTAAGGAAATTTTTCATTGACAAATCTGCAAAAATTAAGAGGGGTCGTTCCCTGCAACATTGAATTGAATTTAGAACTAGTTAGAATTATTTATATTTCTGCGATGATGCAGCATTGGCGTACCTAATTTAAAATATGTGCTCTTCTTAAAGTCTATGATATGAATTTATTGTCTTTAGAAAGACAAACGTTAAACTTACATGGCGCTTATCCTACAGGTCACAGAATTACGGATCAAAATGAGGCGGAAGGTCGAAGCAAGCGATTGCCGTGCGATCAGACCAACCATTTTATGATTAGTATGTAATGGCAAAGGATTAGTTCGCTGCAAATGTAGGCTGCGCAATAAGAATTGATGCGATAACCTCGAGGCACTGTGGTATTATGTAACTTGATGGCAAAATTACTTAGATTATATAATTGAATGCAAAATTCGCGAGATTTTCTATTATTCGCTCAGTTTTGAGGACCAGGGACATACGTTCGCTCTAGAACGAATTTAACGTTTGTCCTTTATGACGACACCTACAGAATGAAAAAAATTTAAACACCAACAAGATTCCTTTTTTTTTATACCCAGCTTAACGATTAAGTAGCTTCACAATCCTCGCCGAGAAATTAGTTTGCTCAACTTGAGCGAGAAATTTATCCTACCAATTATGGGCATCAAGGGCATTTTTCAACCACGTTCGTATGCCCGTGCTGGGAACGGCTGCTGTCGCCCAGTCCATTCTATTTCCTTGGTTTCTTGACCAACCTCATGAAATCGAAAGCTTCACGTTGAAGGTCGCGTTCATTTCACCGGTTGCGTGCCGCTATATAACGGCACCGCAGGTCACAGGCGCCTTCAGTTCAACCTGCTTTGTCCTCTTGCCAAGACTTCGGTGCCACCGAACGTTATCGGGTAGCGAAGATCTCATTAGAAAGGGGAAATTTGAAATAAGAGACTCAGTCATGAAGTTCCAGGTTTGTGTTTCGAGTGATTTGTAATTGTTTTTAAGTAAACAAATATCAACTGGTGGACTTCAGAATCGGAAGTAAAGTGTGAAAAATTCATCAATATGTCAATAATTTTGAATGCGTCATCTGACCTAGATTGGGATTTTAAAAATTCAATAACATAATTAGAAGCATTTTTCTTTGAAAACACAAGGAAAATTTAAATTACAATATTCTTGTAGCTCATGTAATTTTACCTCGGAAATGAATTGAGCATTTATGCGTTCTCTTCTTGAAGACATAAAAATATTATTTTCTAATAGAAGAAAATATTTGTTTGTAAGGCAGTCAGTTGCGTATAGCTCAGCAAGCTCAATATTTATTCTAATTTATATTGATTCAACGCCTAAGCTTCTATGTATTTGATGCAAAGAGTGTGCCGTCGAAATTTTTACTAAGGGAATAATTCACAAGTAAGGTGTATAAGACCACTCGCCAAGCGGCTTATTAAAGGAAAAATCCGAAACGGCATTCGCAATTATTTTCCTTTTCAGCCACTAACGAAGAATTAATTTTATTTTTATATTTTTCACAGGTTTTTTGCTTGTGCTCGGTGGCACTGGCAGCGCTGGTCGTATCCACCAGTGGAAGCCCTCATCCATCAGGATTAATGCAGAGTGCCAAAGCCATCAAAAAACTTATCCGTGGCTTGAAGAGTCCAGAATCGAGCAACAGCGGCAGCAGCAGCACCGAAAGTGTGACAAGTAGAGGCCGTAGCATCGATAGTAGCAATCCTTTGTCAGCATTTGTTGATGGAGTTCAAGCTGCGCGTCAGACATCAAGTTCTTCTTCCGATTCCAACACATCCACAACAGCGAGTGAAGACTCTAACAGCGTTAGAACTCGCCGAACTGCCGTGGATTTCGATATCGTGTCCATGATCATCCAAGTTGTCGTTCTTATGATTGAGATTCAAATCAGAATCGCGTTGAAACTTTTCGGGATTCGACTTCCGGAATCTTTGAACCTTTCCAATCTACTTCGCGAGCCACTCAGGTTACTCGAAAATTTGTCTTAGCTCTTTGTAGTTAGTTATTTACAGGTAATACTCTTTAATTAGGATTATACGAAAGAAAATATAAAGACAATGCAACTTTCTACTACAGGAAGCAATATTCAGTCAAAAATATTCCAGGTAAATGCTGATATTAGAATATTTCATGAGCCATCGCCGTATGTCCAATATACTTTATAATGGCGAGCTCGGCCATTATGTTCCTGTTTTTTGTATATGAAGTATATATGTTGTGTTTAGCAAGTTTTTGATATTATTATATAATAAATGAGAAACTCTCGAGTTTTATCTTCCCTCGAACATTCAGCATTACAGTTCAGAGGCTAGTATCCCTTTTTCTATCAACATGGTGTTATAGGCATCTTATTCATGGAACATTTATTGAAACTCTAGGCCGATAATTTGTGTTATTCGGTTATATTCATCAATGCAAAATTTCGGGACGTCGAGTATGAAAAAAAAACAGTTTTCTCAGGCTAATTCCCATCGCGATTCCATTTGGTCGCGAACACTCACTAACATCCCAAAAACTCAGCCAGCGAGAATAATTATTTTTTTTAACATGTTAATTCTTTTATATGTGCATATCAATAAACTATTTTTTTTTCTGGGGCTTGGATGCTGACCATGAAATATGGTAGGCCGAGAAATAAAAGATTACAATGTAGGATTAGGCGTTAAGATTTCAATGAAAAATTTTCACTGACATGCGGTTGATCTGAACTGGAGCTCAGATGATTCACTTGAACGCAGTGTGTTTGCACGTTCTGAATGATTATTTATTGGAACTACAACATTCCTGATTACTTAAATCCATCAAATTATAAAAAGGGATTCAATACTAACTTTGAAACACATTGTCCAAAGATCAATTCGTTACTGCGTTTGTAGTTAGCAACCAATGAATCCTCAAAATTAGATATTTTCCCCTTAATTTAAGAGACTTGAAAATATTTATAATTGATTTCGGTTGGTAATAGTTAAACACTGTTGACCCCAGGGTGATTCTAAAATTCAAGATTGTGATCCGAGTGCAAATCTCATCAGTCCACAACGGAATACTTAAAGCAGAAAATATTCTGTTTACTTATAATAGCTTCAGCGAAGATTTTTTTATAGAAGACTCGTAAATTTCTTCACTATATCTATCGAGAAATTCACACTCTCAAATTGAAGGGCCATAAATAACAGTTTCAATTACCGCGTGTTAGCCAACGCATTCAATAAAAAATTCTTCTAACGTGAATTGAAACCATTAACATACTCTGTCTCCTGCCATTTGTGAAGAGTTCAGTTAATGGTTTGTTGAAAGGCATTATTATTAATTCACCAATTCCACAACAAACCTTATTAGAGAAAAAGTAATTAAGTCATTCAGAAGTCAACATGAACTAACGATTCCCGCAAAGTTCAAAAATCTTAGGCATTTGCAGTCTGGAGTAACTTTAAAATTTTTCTTAAGTTTAAAATATAAGCAGGCATTATTTTAAAAGATTCGATTTTTTTTTCTAAATCAACGTTGCATCTTAGGAAATGAAACAGCTGCAGTGAATTAAAATTGAGTGGAAAAGGAAACATGTAACTACAGATTATTAGGCTACACATTTTCAGTAGTGTTGAAACAGTTCAAAAAACATTGAATTACTGCTGATTGAAACATAAACTGAAACTTAATTCTGCTATATCATCCGATTTAGTATGTCAACAATCATTTTAAAAGAGCTGATATACAAAAGAATATTAAGATCCGTTCAGTAATGTTAGAATCATGATCTGAGTCACACAAATAAATTTAGTTCGACAATTCAAGTTGAAAGGAATTGAGTTTTAAATCTTTCTGAAATTTCCTCCCATTTTAAAAGTAAAAATACTCTGTGCTGCAGCAGTAACGTTTCCTGAAAGTGACACAAAAATTTCAGTTGCTCTTTCCAATTTGATAAAAATAAAAAGATTGAAAAATCAATGAGCGGTAACCGTAGCCGTGCTACCTACAGTCGATCGTTAATACGCGTTAAATTGTATCGATGACTATATTGTCTGGAGTAAAACTTTATCGACAGTAAAAAAATTATTTCTATGACACAAAAATGTTTCATCAGACAAATCAAATGAGAATCAAACTTAATTCCAAAATTTGCCTGTCAAAAAAAGATATCATCATCAATTGTCAATGTAAATGTTCGATTGTCAATGTAAAAATATATTGATTTACTTACACAATAACAAGATTTTTTTTGTTGCCACGTAATCCTTATATGGCAATATTTCATCCTATTTTCCCAAGCATTATGCGGAGAAAATATTTATTTATTCCGTTGATATGAAGTAAAAAAAAGAAAGCGTTGTTATGGCATCATAGATTATAATTTCATTGCTCTTCGTTATATTTGAAAAAAGTTGCAGCATAAAAATGATTTTTTTGTTTGTTCAGTCTCATTATCGGGCAACCCAGCCTGCGCCTTGCATAAGACTCAGTGAGTATATAGCGATCATTAATTGGACGCCGTATATGTCACCACCCTCACCCACGCCTTGCATAAGACTCTGTGAGTGTAACGGTCATCAGGCACCTTATTAAACCACCTTCGTTGTTATTGGAGGAGCCTTAGTATTTCCAAGAGCTACTCTCTTCAGCAGTTTCCTTACATCCACAAATTTTGCTAATATTTACATCAAGCTTTAGTGAGAACTAAAATACGTTCATTTTCCTAGACCATGAAAAATCGGAATGGTAAGGCCTTCGGTCTCATGAATTATCTCAATACATACTGCCAGTTGAGGATGTGATAGTCAATATCACGCTGTAAGATCATTCCATATAGCTTCTCCAACATTTTTGCTTTAATAATGAGGGCCATCACATTATGCCAGTTCTCTTCCGAAAACAGCATGACTTTGAATTTCCAATAATTTTCAAGAGCCTATCACCGAAATCTCGAGTCCAATTCTAGGAAAACATGAAACGTTTGTATTGCGGGACAATCGATGCATGACAGGCAAATAATTAAATTAATTAAGCAACACTATTTATACTACATATACGCCAGTCAGAACATAGATAGTTATGCTGTTATGCAATTTGTACGCTTGATATTTGAGTTTTTGCTCACTACAGCGGCAATTAGATGAACAAAAAACTTGAGAACCGAAAGCTTGAACCTTGAAGGCTAGCCAGTTCAAGCACCAGTTTTGAGAGCAGCTATTTAACGCAACGAAACTTCATACGAGCGTTCAGTTTCATTTGGTTTTACCGCTGGATTATAGGTGCAACCGGCCCAGATTACATAAGTTCAAGTTACTCATAATAATTTGGTTGCTGAAAGAAGCGATTATAGGAAATGAGCATCAAGGTTAGTGAATCTAGTGTTTTTAATATGAGCTGACTTTTAAAATATATTATCTAGAATTTAAAATTTTTACAATGATTATATATGAATGAAATTTTTCTCACATCATGATAGTAATTTTTTGCTCTATGCTTACTTGTCATCTCCCAGAATCAATTCTCTAACATTCTTCCATACGAAAATTTTATTTGGGTTTAATTTTGTTTTCCTATATGTTTGTTTATATTATCGGCCCTATCTGGGCCGATAATTATAATTTGTGCTATTCGGTTATTCATCAATGTGAAATTTCGGGACGGCGAGTAGGGAAAAAAAAGCATGTTTCTCAATTCCCATCATTTTGAAATTAGCCTTGCTTCCTTCAAACAGACAAAACAGACGAATTCCCATCATTTGGTCGCGAATACTCAATAGCATCCCAAAAAAAAAACAGCCAGCAATTTGGGTTTCTGGAATTTTGGTTTAATTTTGTTTTCCTCTCTTTTGCGATTCATGGTATATTTTTTCATGGTAAAATTTTTTATCATAACCTCATAACCGTACATCTCACCAGAATTGAAGTCAGGCATACTATCAATTATTCAAAATTTTCGTCTTGAATTTCAGTAATCGTAGTCTATCACGGCAAATTCCAACAAATTTATATCCATTTACCTTCAACGTTAAAATGTATTAAATAGCTTAGAAGGGCTATCCGTTCATCCACAATTCCAGGATAAGTTAAATTTACACTAATTATAGACAAATGATCCGTGATGAAGCTTCAAAAGTTATGTTACATTGGAAAAAACTAATAAAATGCTCAATTTGGAATTAATTTTAATGACATGAATTGAAAACTCGTTTTTAAAATGCAAATTTTAATGTATTAACATTGACGATGGTCGCTCTAAGCTCAGTTGTCATTTACGTTAACTTGTGAATTTCTGAGCAGCAAGCCGTTATAGTTGATTTTGCTTTCCAATTGAATACGTTAAGCCGAAGTAAATAAAGACCTTAAACCTACGAATGTGATCAGTATTGATAACATTGGTAAGCATAGCTCCTGTAAGATATTACATTTGTCGCTCTGCGGCAATTGCAGTAACACCAATTGTTCAGAGAAGCAATCGTACCGCTACATTGTGGCCTGCACCTCGTATGAACGCAATAGCAGAGGACTGGAGTTTGTATTATCTGCTTTTCTTATGACACTATAACCTGATTTCTGCTCCTCTGACGACTGGAAAAAGGTTATCTGCTCCAGATAACGGAGCAATGAAGTCCAATTTTACCAATGTAATTTACATATTACCTTAAGTTCTCTTTCCCTCAGGTTATCAGCATGTTTGCCGCAGTGTTGCTGCCACTTTTATGCACGAGTAGTGCAAAGAAGGTATTCATCAACACCGGTCCGATCAAGAATGTATTCAAAACAGACGATGAGTTCCCGAGCATCAAGAATGCCTTCAACACCATCTTCACTAAGCACGGCGCCAGTCCTACTCAGAGTTCAGGATTATCGAGCAATATCAACACGCAACTGCCTGGTATCTCATCGGCGACAAATGACAGTACCCGAACCCGCAGAACTGCAATTGATATGGATATAATCGCGATGATTGTGCGAATGGTGATGCTTATCATTGAAATTCTAATAAGAATTACACTAAAATCGTTCGGGATTCGACTACCCGACGGCTTTGATCTTTCTAATGCGCTGAGACAACCGCTTCAATTTTTAGAAGGTTTGATTTAGTTGATAGCAAATTTTAAGTGTAATAAAGAGCAGCTGTTGAACTTCGTTTTTTGTTATTAAGAGTTGAATTTTATTGATATACATTAGGATAACGTAATGCATAATATTGCGTTTTATTTGTTGTGTTTCGTTGTATGAATATTTCCTACATTTTTTGTTATCCTCACGATGTTAATTTTTATTAAGTTTTAGGAATTACTATTTTCAATTTTTTTATTTAATATTAGTGTGGACATCAGTGCATCAACAAAATTACTTTAACAAGACTGATTTGAAATGTTCCGAAGTGAACTGATTTGAAATTTTCCGAAGTGAAGGCGGCATCCAAATGCTCACAAAAAAATGTCATTCCGTTTGTTCTCATTTTCTTTTGTACAAATATAATTATGTTGTGTTTTTTTTATTCAGTGTTTGTATGTTGTGTGTTTGAAGCTTTGTGTTCTGAATATTTTTTGGCCCACAATACCCATATCGCGCCAGATTGCGCGATCACTACTTGATAATTCTCAAATTTTTATTATATGTGCTTCAAATTTTCATACTTATTTGTTGAATTACGAAGCAATGCAGAACGGTGGATGAATTATAAAAAAAGTAAGCAACAAAAATAATTTTCTATTAAATTCTTATTTTGAATTTTAGGATGAAAATCAAATGATCGCTCGAAGGAAGTGGGCTTTAATACACATTACTCCAATTTCTGAATTAATTATAACAGAGAAGATTAATTATTGATAGAGGATAGAGATTCCTAAACCTCAGGGATCATCTATTCTGAACAACGCGCAGGCCAAACTGACAGTTTATTCCCCATAGAAATTTTCCTCAAAAAATCTAAAGCTTTCATAAAAACTTTATTTCATAAAATTTTGCGAATTGTTAAGATTGCTAAAAAGATGTAATGACCTGATTTGGGGGAAATGTTAATCCCGAAAAGTTTTGCGCAGTCGCCAGTTAGCTATTTATGTAACGATATTCAGGTATACATATTCAAATTTCGAACCCGCATTCTGAATTCCAATATAAAATATTGAAAATATCAATCGTTACAAGGAACACCGCCGATATTCACGATGAATTGTGACGAGGATAGATGAATTAATTTGATTGTGCTTCGTGCATAGCTAAAAAATAGAATAACGCTTCAATCCACCAACAACATAAAAAAAATTCATAAAGAAAAATGTCAAGTGAAAAAACTGAAAATTTTATGCTATGCATTATGTCTCAGAATAAAGAAGGGAAATCTCGGACAACACGAGAATCAAATTTAACGTAGGAAAAATCAACCAATCTGTTGATCGACCAATGATTTTCCAATCAACTAATTTGTCAATCAACCAAAGTCAGGACGAAGCAAGAATTCAATGAAGACTGTAGGAAAAGGTGGGATGTAATATATGTACAATCAGAAAATCGGCTATAGAAGCTAAAAGTGATTCGCTGCTTGATATTAATCTATAATCTATAATATAATTTCATTCGATGATTTGTTTATACAAATTAATCTTCAATTCCATACGTACTCAATTCTTTTCCGTGATACCGGCTGGATGAGCCCGGTCTTCTTCTTCCAGACAATAAGAAAAACTCCATGTGTGTCACAAAATAGCAGAATTCGTGTTTATTCTTTAGTTAATCATTTTCAGCACTAATATTGTTATTAGAGATCGGATGACTGTTGCAAGCGAGAAACCATAGGTGCGCCATTCTTTATTTTCTATTTATTGAGAAGAGATGAACTGGTATGTAATAATGTGCAGAATACATTATAAAGTATTAGGCGGGAAAAATAAACAGGTTGTGTTAAACGTCTAAACCCTCTATCTTTCTATGGTATTTATAGGCGCCTAAGAGATTTCCTGCCGAGTTTAGATGCCATAACAAAAAGAATAAATATATAGTTATTTAAATTATAATGGTCTAATGGAATTATATTCAAAATAATGAATTGAATGTAATATTAATGAGTTAGCAAAGCCTTCAAGCGATTTGTTGTTACCAGAAAACAATTTTTTCAGTAAGGGTAAAACGTAAATATTTGTCTCAATTTTAACTAAAGACAAATCTTGTGGAATTGAGCAGGAAGTATACAAACAGATAACAAGACAATTTGAATCTTCAATCAACATCCCAAAAACGAATCATTTAATACAGTAATGCTTCATTCATCGCAAGGAAATTATTTAATTTATGAGCGTAATTTATATTTCAGCACTCGAATATCAGCACTTTTACTGAAGACTCAGCGTGCATCTCAGAAATGTTAGCGGAGTGACTGAAAATAGCAATAAGGGAAATTTTTTTCCTAATTTAGTTTCCATCCACATTTGTGCTCCTTTTGAATTGTGGCCATTTCTTTTTCTAAAAAAATAATAAAATAAGATGTATTGCCTTGACCTTACCCAGGCGATTATAAATATACTCCGCGTATCTCTCTTGCTAGAGAGTCTCGGTCAGTTTCCGTCGAGTTAAAATGCAGCTGAGAAGAAGAGATGATGGCTGCTGGAGGATGACTTGTTCAATGGAATAATATAGTTAGGCTAGCGTACACTTCGGCGTTCAGATCTGGCCGAGTGAGTTAGTACGGGCTGCTAAGTATGGGCTGCTAAGTATGAGCTGCTAAGTATGAGCTGCTAAGTATGAGCTGCTAAGTATGGGCTGCTAAGTATGAGCTGCTAAGTATGTGCTGCTAAGTATGAGCTGCTAAGTATGCTAAGTATGGGCTGCTAAGTATGGGCTGCTAAGTATGGGCTGCTAAGTATGGGCTGCTAAATATGGGCTGCTAAGTACGGGCTGCTAAGTATGTGCTGCTAAGTATGAGCTGCTAAGTATGGGCTGCTAAGTATGGGCTGCTAAGTATGAGCTGCTAAATATGGCTGCTAAGTATGGGCTGCTTAGATACCACAGCTTAGTTCATGGGAGGATTTTAGTCTTCTGGGTTATCTATTCTCGTATGTTAAAGTAATGCCTTTGTAATCTTTTCATTGATACATTGTATATCGTCTTGACAGGGCTATCATGTATCAAGTTGATTAGTATGTGGTTGTTTTGATTATTAATTGTTAAAGGACTGTGTGTAAGTACTTCTTCATTTGAAATGCGTTATATGTTTTAACTTTGCTGGTAAATAATAATTACACTGTTGTTTTGTGGTAAATAAATTTTTTGGTAGCTTTGTATTTTCGTTGCTTTTTAATGAAGGCAATAAAAATTAAATACACAGTGAAAAAAGTATTACATCCTTGTCTGCGGTTTAAGCTTTTCATGTTATAACACTGTTTTCTTGTGAATAAATAGCAGATTAGCTCAGAATTGGGCGGGATAGATAATCCGTGCAGTTTGAGAATCATTCATTCCTAATCCCGTCACCCAGAATCCCGTCCACCGTAATACATCCACCCGTGTCGTCCACCGTAATACGTCCACCCGTGCCGTTCACCATAGAATCACGCTAATAAGTTTGAAACTAAGTGTCGTAGTTGAAGACCTTCCCAAACCCGCTCTTAATTAGCACTGAATTCCCGTTTAGCACAAGTCTCCATATATAAAGTAAACATGAAAATCTTATTATTTGAATAAAATTTGCCCTAAAAAAATAAAATTCGTACTTTAATTGTATATATAACTTTCATTTCTATCTCTCAATGTAACAGAGTTCAAACATTAAAAATAATATGTTCAGGTAATAAAATATCCCGATACGATAGGTTTCCTGACGACACATTTATACACGCAAAGTAAATATTTACTCAGTCCCGGTGCCAGGACTACAAACAGAAGCAAATACGACAAATTTTACATATGCACATAAGAAATTCATTTTCACTTCCACGACAATATACAAACTGAAAACTATTTACCTAACACCAAAGTTCACGGACCCTGGCTTTTAGCAAGTGAGCAAGCCTTGGCTTTTCATTAACTTTTTGTGGATAAAAAAATCAAATATGATTTGTATTCACGAAATTATCCCGCGCGCCCCAGCACCACAAAAAAAGAGGGCAAAATGAAAGCTGCACTGAGGGTCAACCAGTTGCGGTTGGGCGCCGCTATTTAACCTAAGATGAGGGCAAAGCCGCGCCAGTGATGTTCGAGTAGCGCTGCATTGAATAGGCAGTGCGTGTAGCATGCTACTTTGTAAGGCAGATTTGTGATCATACAAAACCAACATGAAGATTCAGGTAGGTACTTGCTGTATTTTCTTGCTAAAGGAGGTGCACAATTTGCATTACATTAAAAAAATTGTTGTTGTGTGCAAAGCGCGATGATTTAGCGTAAATTTGCATAAATTCACTAACATAAATAAATTTCCGAATATGATTTTTTAAGAATGAGAATATACTGCAGTTAATATCGAAACAAGACTTTGAGAAAAATGTTAAAACCCGTGGATATTATTGCAATGTTTAGTTAACGTAGAATGAATCAAGTTCGTCGTTGAACATGAAACATTAATATGCATGCAAACCCTACAAGATTTTCAAAGCATATGTGTACACGAGGTGCTACCCCAACAAAATTTGTGGTACCTCACGCAAATCTACAGTTATTGTCACCTTTTTAAGTGATTATTATTATTTGGAAGCATAATAGTCTGTAATAAACTTTCTTTCGAAGTTTAAATGCTCCATAGATATATATTACATCAAAATTCTATGCCAAAAGATTAATTATTTACAGTCTACTTTCATAATAAACTCTTGGTGATTTTTTCCAGGTGATTTCAACCCTCTTGATAGTGGCTCTGGCGCTAGTCACTACCAGCAGCGGCAGCCCCTCACCAGTGTTCTATGTGCTCGGAAAGGCTACACATCCATTAAAAAAACTCTCCAGAGCAATATCAGGATCAGGTGACAGTAGTAGCAGCAGTAGCACTAGCAGCAGTAGCTCTACTGGCACTGGCACTTCTGGCAGCTCTGCCAACGGCAACCCGTTGTCCGCATTCGTGGACGGAGTTCGAGCCTCCAGGAAGACGTCGGACTCCACAACATCGACTGCAGCGACGGCTTCTGATAACAATGTACGGACGAGGCGAACTGCAATTGATTTCAATTTGTTGTCTATGATCGCGAGGCTGATAGTCCTTATCATTCAGATCGAAGTCAGAATTTTCCTAAAAATTTTCAACATCAGGTTGCCTGACTTCGGAAATGATATTACAGGATTCTTAAGTGAGCCACTACGGTTACTGCAAACCTTAACCTGATGTGGATAAAAGGTTAGCAATTATTTATTGCTAACCTTTTATTATCACACCGCTTTTTGACGATTCCCAAGTTCGTGTAAAAGACATTGCTTTGCGTCTGCGATATTTTAGTATTTTTTTAGACGTCCTTTAATGGCGGGTACTTCATGCTTTGTTTTATTTTATTATGATAAGCAGGAGAAGATATCCTTTTCACGACCTCAGTTTTTGGTTTTTTACAATTGAATACTACAACCAGCAAAAAAACAGTCACCATTATTTATTAATTTGCACAAATGTATTAAATAAAGCCCTGTGTGAGTTAGCGCAATTGACTTCCGTCTATGAAATATATTATTGTTCAGAAAATATTAACATTCTTGCACCAAGGCGTAAAATTCGATGTTTATTATCGTAATTTATGCGGTAATTTTTTCAGTTCACCTCTTAGGTTTTTGTTGCTTAATAGAAAGAGTGAGAAACCTATAATATAAATTGCGAAAATTTTAGTACTACATACGGCGCTCCTAAAGAAATTGTAACCAACACGAATATTTTTCTTGCAAGCCTTGTCAGGAATCCATTCATTTTCCTTGGTATTTATCGCGCCGCATTTGCTGGTAGAATGTACAAGCTAGTGATTTGAAGGATCATTTTTCTAGAGTTTCCCAGAGGAGTGCATACTTGCTCCTCAGTCCAGTGGCGGCGTGGGAATGATTTCCTTAGCTTTCCCATCGGTAAATAATCGATGACGTGACAGCACATAAGCAGTGAAGACATGTTTGCCATAACGTATATTAAATGTAAAACAGTAAACACTGTTGTATTAATTTCTAAACCATTAAACCTATCTCTATAAATACCACATACGGATATCAAATTATCAAATTATGTAATTTTTTCCCGCTCTGCAATGTGAACCAGAATCACAAAAATATTACATATAGAACCTTGCACGCCTCATTTGGTGGTTTCAGCCACCCAATCCTGATCCTGGGTCAACAATTCTCAATACCCTTGCATCTGACAGCAGTAACCTTTATAGCCAGGTAGGTCTACCACACCCATGCGCCTTTGAAGCTGCACCACGTGCGACTCCAATATTTGGCCTCTAATAAAAATTCACAGTAACCTAGTGCGCGAAAGAGACCTGCCAACATTATAAATTCAGGACAATAATTATGGCCTGTGAATAAGACTCCACTTCTCATCAATTAAAGTCCAGGATAACACCAGTAAGAACCCAAGTCCAAGTACCGATAATGTCACCCGGAATGCATAGTAAAGTAATTTTGAACGTATGCGTTCAGAAGCAGTCAAGGTCTGCCGTTGTGTAAGGGTTGGACGCTGTGTTGCGTCACATAAATGCGAGCCGAGCGGCTCTGGGTCAGGCGTTGATTGCAGCCTGCACATATCAACGGACGTCGAGTCAAGTCATGGATCCTTTTATGTAACGACCTCACCCAAGCCATGACTGGCAATAAAAAGGCAACCGCAACCAGTAAATACACTATTAAGCCAGTGACAGCGTGTACATTTTACAGGAGTACTACAACTTTGTTTATGGAAGTGTGGCGTGTTATGAAATCGATGATCCCAAATGCAGTTGTTGTTTTTTCCGAGAGCAGCCCGCTGATTTTATCCCCAGTAAGGTAAAAATTGCATGCTCATGGATACGGAGCTCAGAGATTGTGAAATAGCATAAATGAAATAACGTTCTGGGATCTATAGAGAAATAAATCAAACGTTAAAAAACTTTTACTCGACCATCGTTCGCTATGCATTTTGCAATATTTAGTCGCTTCGATTTAACAGCGGTGTCAGCGTTGCAGATTAGGCCATTTAGCCTGTCGCCTTTTTCTGAACATCGCACAATTTTCACAGCTTGTTGCAAGTCTCGAACACGCAATTCATTTCTTCAGTATCCACTGTGATTTACCGCCAGCGGCAACCTTGGCGATTTCTACCAGATCTTTCACTACTGGCTGCTGGTATCGAACACACAACTCACAGCTAAAGTTTTGGTGCCCTGTACTTTAAACACTCGGGCACCCGGTCCTGTAAAATAAAAGCAACCTGTCGCATAAAGAGTTCGATCCCAGGGCCTCTTGCATCACGAGCAAGCTTGCAATGTCTACGCCTAAGTAAGTCTTGAATTGGCCTAGTATTGAATTAATCGAACTCCATTCTTGTGGCTTAACTACACGTGGTTGATTTTTTTAAAGGCTAAATTTGCCGTTTGAAATACTATATTCATTTACGAATCAAATTTGTAAAATTTCTTTGAGGCGGCTTTGATATGTGGAAATTTGCTGCATAAAATAAAATTGGAGCGCCCAACTGCTCGATCATGCATTATCGCTAATGAATTGATAAGACGCCAGCTGGTGACCTCATAGGAGAGACCAGCAAGCGAGGGATGTGCAAACTTGGTATCGGTAAACATCCCGTGAAGCTCCTGCTCCAACCTCGCCAGGATCCACGCCAATTTTCACCTTCAGAGCTTAAGAAGACGCTTCTTTGGTTCAATTAGCACGCATGTTTTTCCCTACCTTAAACATAAATTTCAAATAACGATTAAGGACACGGGATAATATTGGAACAAAAATTTATTCATGCCAAAAACGCCCATTTGATCTTTCTAGAAAAGTAGATGCTCATGAAACCAGAACGAATCAATATCAATGAGGAGTGCCCAGCTGAGCACCACAAATTAAGCGCTATAGGACCAGCCTAGCGCAGTCCACACTAGCCTCATTATGTAATGGCTACATTCAGCCTCAGAATCAAGGAGCTCCAACCATGCCTCTTCACTGTAAACCACCGATTACGTAATTCACTGGCTTACTTCATAACTTCACAGAATATAGTCTCATATAGCCCTACCTCCACACTTAACTCCGACTCTCCACCTTCTTGCAGCAAACGACAGGCCTTTCACAAGTCCTCACGCGCACCGTCTCTCCACCAACCCGCTGCCATTGAGGTTTGGTTTTGTTTAGGAGTTGAGACAGTATGGAGGTTTGTACATACGGAATTATATATGTTCAAAGATGAAGTACAAGTTTAAGCAGGGCTGTTGATTGATGGCTACTATGTATTGTACTGCAAAACTTCATATGGCTGCAATGCCCTCTAGCTAGCTTACCTCGAAAAGGAATACGAAGCCAACTGCGCAGTAGGGCAAAGCTCGCTTCCGCCCTTCGGCACGCACCCTGAGACTACAAATGATTACGCGGGCCATTTAATTTTATTATCTTTAAATGGTTCTTATAGATTATAAAACAATTGAGGAATCTAATGAAAATTGCGATGTAGAGTGGCTGTATCTGGAAATGCAGGTTTATTTCGATCTTGGGTATGATTGATTGATTTTTTAATTTGTCCGACATTCTTGATTTTCGCCATTAATTAACAAAGCAGCATGAATCATATATCATGGCTGGCTCGACTTATCAGTAATGTCAATTAACTTGTACTATTCGTCACACAACGGTATACAATTTTTACAAATTAATTTATAAATCCTGTGGTGTAACCATAATCATTTTTCGTGAAACTGTGGTGCCAAGGAATTAAAGAAAGAGGGTTGCTAAAGGGGTTTGAGATTGGATTTAGAAGTTACAAACGGCAGTCCCTCTTCTAATTAATCGGTGTGAATGTGTATTATATGGTTTGAAGTAAAGAATATGATGATTCACTATGTTTATTGATGATTGAAGAATGATGGCGCCGACCAACACCTGGCGATAGTTGGTCGTTAGAATACAGACATGACATAAGCAATGGAGTAACAACAATATCAAAAAAATATTGGGAATACAGATGGTAATTCAGTTATCATGTTGTCAATATTAAATCGCAAATATCCAAATTTAATTCTAAAGGTTATTTGGCAGCTTACTCCTGGTAGTTGGTCACAGCAAGATAAGGACAATAAAAAATTTAAGCTAAAGCATTACTGGCTACTGTTGCCCGCTGGCGCACTCTAGGAAGAATTCAAAATTATTGAATGACCCTATTAGAACGTTAAATTAATCTTGCCGTTGATTGAGTATTTATTTTTCAGAAAATTAGACGAATATTGTTCATGTTTGAAAATTGATATTTTTGATTTACTATTTTGCAATTAAATAATAGCGAACATTGAAGTAAATAGTTGACTTTTAGCTAACACGGTTACATGAAGCAACAAAAATTGTGTTTAACGAGCTTGGGGATTTGATAAAAATAATCACGACATTCAAAAGAAATGAAAGTTCGAGTTATAAATTCGAATCACTACCGAATAAGCGATTTCGGATGTCCCTACATTTTTTTTTAATTCCGCAGGTGTCGTTCACCGTTTGGAGCGTTCGGCATATTCCAAGTAAGTATGTGCCAAAGTGAGATCGCTGATACATCACAAACAAGGTCAACGAACATGTTAATAATATTATAGCGCAACTCTGCCAGCGCGGAGGAGAAAATTTTTCGCTCTCGTTAACCTTTCAAAAGTAGGCGGCAGCAGAAGTACGATTCCTACGTAAGGATGTCAACTTCTTTTGCCGGAAAGGAATTGGTATCATTAAATTTAGAGTCTTCGTGGCATAAATATTATTACGATTATTATTTCTTATCGTTTCATTTACTGATAAACTATAACTTAAAAGTTGTTGACCCGTGGGTTAGAGACACTAGGAAACGGTAAATAGCAAGATAAAATGATGCACAGAGTGGTACAGCATTTTTTGCTATTGCGCGCTTCACTAACCGCGGCTTCACTTCATCGCGGGTTTTGAAGAAATATAAAGGAGAAAAATCATTCTCGGATCTTCACTGGTGTGCGGGTTTCTGAGGGAGTCGATCGGTAGATTAAAACCGCCCATGGAACTCTACCCGCAGTAGAAGTTCGGGAAGGATTTGTAAAACTTAAAATGATGAAAATTTACTAATAATGAAACAATTTCAAGATCCTTCACGCTCACAGTGAACAATTTATAGCAATTAATTCGTGAGATCAGTAGTGTAACAATCACACACACTATTTTAAACCTGTGCTTTATATCTCCCTACTTTTTTACATGATAGTTTCATGCTTGAAATATTTCAATGTCTGAATTAGGATATAGAATTCCAGTCACTTCACCTATCACGGCCGAGGAATGGAACGTAACACCTACGATAGAGGAGGGATTACTGTACTTTGATCAGTTAGCGTATAGTAGTACCCAGGACGGCGGAAAAGCATAACACTGTTTTTTTTTTCAAAAAAACTTATCGCTCACAATTAAGATTGAATACGATGTAGCAAGGCAATAATGATCAATGATTCAATTTCTCATCGTCATGATACTTATATAATATATTTTTGGATTTTCTTACAGAAGCGTTCACCTCTAAACCTTACGCATAGAATTTAATACAAAAGCCATACAACGAAACATCCCATTAAATTTTATAGAATACAGAGCTTTATATTCATAAGGTAATGTTCTCAGGACATGTTTGAAAATTTTCTTCGCGCTTATAAAAAGCAGGCATCGGCCAGAGTTGGAATAATGCGAGATGTGAATGAGGGCCAAGGTGACGTGGTCGTACAGCAAGAGGAAGCAGCAAAAACTGGACCGCGTTTTTCAACCACTCTTCTCAAGTGTAGCGGGCGCTTGGGGAATGAAACGAAGTTCAGTTCTTGCCGCCTATTGCTGATTTTCTGTGCACAGATTTTTTTTATCGCTAAGGAATAAAGATTTATGCAAGTCATCGCAAGAAAAAACGTTTAAAAGCTTTTTATCGATACCTAGAGAAATTGGCCACGAATTACCAAGAGGTCACAAAAAGAAAAACAGTGAATGATATATCAATACACGTGCTGAATATTCAGTGGGTAAAGAATATATTCACACCAAGCATCGGGCGCCTGCCGGATCAAGGTTATGTGAGACTTTCACTCTGAAACAAGGCAGTTTTTTGGTAAAAAAAATACTCAAAATCCGTATGTGGCGGTGATGGTAATATTTTTTGAGTCTTCAGAGCTCTGTGTTCTAATGAATTAGTTTTTTTTTCGTACCATGTGACCCAGTAACTCAAATAAATAATTTTAAAATGATAATTTTCGCGTGAAAGTATGATGGCAGAAGCTTTTATTATTACAACACTTCTCTTTAACTTCACTTCTTGTCTGTTTGTCTGTCTGTCTGTCTGCTACAAATCTTGTAATCAAAATTTAATACACTTCTACTTATCCTATCGGTCTGAAATTTTGCACACTTCTTTAAAGTTGGAGACAATGCATGTATCAAATGTCAAAATAAAAGATTTTTAAAATTTAAATTTTTTTTCAATATTAAAAAAATTGAAAAAATAATTTTGTCAGCTACAAATCTTATAACTGATATTTGACACACTTTTACCTGTCTAATTGATCTGAAATTTTGCACACTTGTGTGAAGTCAGAGGCAACGCATGAATCAATTAACAGAATAAATAATTTTGAAAAAAAATGTATATATTAAAAAATTTATATAGGTATATTAAAAAATTGAAAAATAATTTTTTTTATTTCCGAAAATTAGATGAGAAATTCATTGTACATCTGTAAGATTGGAGATACTGGATTCTTTGGAAGTGTTGTCTTTAAAAAGTAATTTTTAAACGTATATTATTTTTATATGATGGATAACTTTCCACATTAGAAACATTGCGGCTTCAACTGGACAAAATGAATCTTAATTAACTTTATGCAACGCTTGTATTTAACGTTTGTTTGTTCAAATTAAGTATTTGAACTGCAATTAACATATTATTTTTGTTAATCTTTGCAAGTGTGGATGTGTTCTGTTATGAGTTTACGCAATAATTTTTGGAAACATTGCGTAATAAATTTGACGTTTCAAAAAGCGAGAAAAAATGACCGATAGATTTCTATGAAGATTATATTAATTCAAGCTTCCATTTATAGAATATAAAACTATAAAATTTTCTTAGCACTGAAATAAATGATCAATTTTCAATAAGAATCAGAATTATTTATAGTTTCGTAAATTAATAAACTTGCGTAAATTATATATCTATGTAAACATAAGAGTGAGAAAAATTTTAAAGCAATTTCTTGTAAACTTATATTTAAAACTTTGCGTTTTAGAATACGTTCATCCCAAACCCCGTAAAAGGAGTAATGCAGGTGAATCTTACTAAAATAAAGGCTCGTGTCACACATTTCAACACACATTTTACACAGTTCATGTAGCCCATACTTGATAATCGTTCAAATTATTCAACTATTCTTCGTACTTTAACTAAATCTATACCTACTAATTTGAAGTTTAAATACGATTTTTGATCCAATCCTCAGCTATGTTTTCTAATGCCTTCTTATAACCCAAAGTGAACAAATTTTCAGTTGCAGGTAATATCCCGACCCTATAAGTATCGTGGGTACTCGCTCAGCCTCTATGTATTCAGTATTACCAGCACAATACATTCAAACACACTAACGTTGACTAATCTAGATTGACGATTTGGTTCGTTCCACGTTTGAAGTGAAATACTGTCCATTTCATTTTACAATCAAATATTAAGTTAGGTAATTTCTTTACGAATGTACGAAGGTAGAATTCGTTGAGTAAACATTATACAATTTATTGGCTCATTTCTGCAAGGGAGCTTTTCCAAACATTACATTTATTCAGGCTGAAATTTTACTGTTAATCAATAAATTGCTCTAAAATTGTCCTCAATGAATTGAAAATCAATGCGTGACAAAAATCAGTGTACATGCTGAAAACTATAAAATATAAATTAAATAAATGAAATATTTATCTCTAAAGAGACTAGCCCGAATGTAAAGCGAAGTGCAATGCATGATCTACCCGGCCTTAGTTCACAATCCAAGATTCAACACGAACATTCATGAAGTATATATATATTAAACTAATCATGACTATGCAGGCATTCCATCAGCCAATTTTCAATGAATAATAAAATTACTTGCAACTCCGCTAACGACCTCCAGACATAGGTTTGAATTAGGACTCTTAGGTCATCGTTCACGTAAATTCTTCTCGTTCTACCACTGTTAACTCTTCCATCACGCACGCAAAAAAAATCTTTCGAAAATTTTCATACAATTTCGTTTTTTAACTGAAAATTTTTTCTACGAGTTCGATACAGCCGTAAAAATCATTGCATTATACACTCATTTATGATTCTTTATAAATGAAAAGTGAAAGTTTCTGATAAATTAATGAATGTAGCAAATGTCATATGGTACAGTTTGTATGAATTATTACCACTATTTTTACCACGCATCTCTTCAATTAAGGGGAGCGTCTACCCTAAATTTGGAAATTTTCACTTTTTCGGTTTTTATACTCATTTTAAAGCTGACATTCTGCCCTATCCAACGGTATCACTGCCATCTCTGTACGTTGATTTATGATTTCACAACATTTCATGAAAGGGGGGCGGGTGGGGGAGTTCTTCAAGTAATTAGATAGGAACTAATTAGCTGCTGAGCTCTTTAAATATAGTGTCTACTTGAGTTGTGCTGCAGTTACGTGTTTAGTCTCATCTTAAAGCTGACATTCTGGCATATCCAACGGTACCATTACCATGTCTGTACGTTGATTTATACGTTCGCGACACTTCATGTAAGGAGGGGGGAGTTCTTTCAGTAATTACATAGGAGCTAATTCGCTGCCCAGCACTACATATACAGTGTTTCTATGAGGTCTGACTCAGTGCGGAGTGCGCCTCCGGGCGTTGTACGGAGAGATGTGCATGTAGTCGCTCCCATCATCCTTGAGTGGAATCAAGCTCCAAAAACGTTTAGTTTGGTATCTATGCTACATTGAGCGCATATTGTGGTGCGCGCGGGACTTTGTCGCGCTCTCCTCAACATTTACACTTATTGTCACGGAAAACCTATCTCCTCCTAGAGTTTTGGAGCTACATCAATGAGACATACACCGTTCGATGGGCAACAAAATTATCTACAATTGAACACGTGCGTTTTTCTAATTTCGCTGTAGCTTGGATTTTATTTTGCAAAAAGGAGGGGGGGGGGTGGCGGGGGGAAATCACGAAATTTTCGAAAAATTTACAAAAAAATGCTCCCACACATACAAAAATGGGAATTCAAAAAACCGCCGTGTTCAGTTTTAGATATGGTCTTCACGCATCGAATGATATGTGTCTCGATGTTCTAGCTTGAAAATCCTAGGAGGAGATAGATTTCTACGGTACCCCCCTTTTGACCGTTTTCTAAGATTTTCACGTTTTCTTTCATTTTTTTCGAAAAATGTACATGAACAAAAAAGTCTTACATTTCTGTTTTACATATGTGTACCAAGTTTCAGAGTGATCCGTCTGTGAATAGCCGAGATAAATTTTACCCTAGACGCTCCCCCTAACTTCACTTCTTGTCTGTCTGCTACAAAGCTTTTAATCGATATTTAATTAACACACTTCTACCTGTCCAGTGAATCTGAAATTTCGCACATTGGCGTAAAGTGAGAGATATTGAATGAATCATTTGACAGAATAAATAATTTTAAAAATTAATGTCATTTAATAAAAAAAAATTTTACCTATATAAAACTGAAAGAAGAGATTCATTGTACATGTGTAACATCGGAGACATCGGCCCCTTTAGAAGTGTGGTCTTTGAAAAACACTTTTTAAAAGCATATTATTATTTAGGATATCTATAATGCCATTGAAATGCAGCCTGGTTGTACTTGGAGAGATCAAAATGCATTTAGCCCTTTGGCTATCAGCTGGTTCCTGTTTTGATGCTCCTTGTTTGTCAACCGTGTAGACCGAAACGCAAAAACCCGTTTTTTTTGTTCCTAAGGTGAATTATGGCTGAATCGGAGAATTTAGAAATTCAATCGAAACAAGATCCAAGAACAACACAACTTCCTCATAAGTATAATGATTATGATATAGATCCAAGACAAGACATTTTATGGAAAGGTATGTCTCGACGTCACGTTTCTTAGACTTAGCCACTTAGGCTAGTATGAATAATGAATGTATGATCACCATGATGCATTGTACGATACGGTGGAGTCACTTGAATTTTGTGGTTAGAAAAATTCCTTCAAATTAGCTAGGTATTCTCAAAATCGTACTGTGTGTACTGTGTACTGTCTATTGCCTGTGTAGTGTGTAACTGTACCACCACACGGCACCACAGTAAGCCACACTCGGCACTCGCCAACCACACCAGTCTAATCACACTCAGAAGTCAGAAAGTTCAAAATCATGAATATGTATAATTTATAGACTTGTGCTTTACTGCTTTTTAGGGAATCTTTTTGTACAAAATGAGCTTCCTCAAAGGCTCAAACCTAGTCTGGAAAAGTCCTATTTTTGTCTGAAATATCACGGCTATAATATCATATAATTTCAGTAGGTATGAAATCTCGCGGCTTGAATGTCATAAATTTTTGTTTGATTAAAAAATCGCGGTTTGCACTTCGCAAACATGTCATTTCATAAAATTTTTAAATGGAATCACGGCTGGCAAATCCATAAAACCACGGCTCGAAAAATTCAGTCGCGGCTCGCCAAGTAGATATATCCCATACTAGCCTCAAACTAATGGACCTTGCAGGACATAGTGTAGAAATAATTTGCTCTCCAAGTCAGGATATATAGTGCATAAGCGCAGCCGCGGAGGCTTTGCAGGTAAAATTGCAGCTGTCTTTGTAGAGCCACAAATTCTTGTAGTTTCAAGCCATGTCAGTGTCCATGAGTTAATTTTTTTGAGCCATGAGGCGATGATGAGGGTACATGATCCTTGACCCAGGACTCCATGAGTCATTTTATGGGTTGTTGAAAGCCATTATTGAGCTGCTAAATTGTTTGTATAACTATAACTGGCTAACCCTGAATTCATTTGATTTGAAAAGCTATACTGGCCGCCATGCACGATGCACCTGTATTAGGCCAAATTCTCATTTTCCCTGGATGTAGAAAATTAGGATTTAGGAACATTTTTGTTAACTTGAGTAAAATTTCAGAATTGGATAACATTTTTTCATGTTTTTATTAAAAAAAAACTTGATTATATTTATAATGCATACTTTCAAGTTTCAAGATCAGTAGATCACAACTACAATTACTACATGATAATCAACAAGATATTTTAGATGCAATCATTGTAAATAATATTTTGGCCAAAGATTGGCCTATTGGGTAAAATGCGCCCATGAATTGAATAAAAACCCTTGTGAATGTAGCCAATTTGACCCTCTCTTCTATCTTTCTTCAGTAAAGAATTATGAAAACAGCCCATTTTTATCCATGATTATTAAAATCACTAGTGAAATCATAATTTTCAACCAGGATTTTAGGAAAATTCTGCCTGATATTCCAAATTGGGGTAGCATTAGCAAGGTAAATATATTCCAAGTCTAGTTGTGATTTAGAAACAGTTTTCATGACTGTCAAATGAAAAGTCACGAGGTAAAATCCTGTGAGTAGATAAAGTAGATATTTTTAAAGTAGGTAGATATTTTTCAATTAGTTTTCATCTTGCACTAAGCAATCTAATTATTATCAAAGTATTTTAATCTAAAGTGACTAGCTTATGAATCCAGAATTAGTACAATATTTCCATTCATAAAATTTTGTCTAATCATAGACTTTCATGGCATTAATGTATTAGAAAGTTTATTTTACAGGAGAAAAATATATATAGAACCATTAGTGAAAGAAGAATAATAATGTGAGTATAGTAGAAGGCACAATGTACATTTTTGAACAATCTATAATCAAATCAATGTTGATGCCAAAAATAGGTACCCAGTACCTATGTATTTTGTACCTGCTTCCTTAGGTACAATAGGTAGGTTGGTTATTGTTGGTAGGGTACAATAGGTTGAAAATTTATTTTTCTATATTCTAGTTGATCTCATGATAGTCTATTTTCAAAAAAGTTATTGACACAGTTTTTTTTACAGATCCTAAATTGTGGAGATGCAGGATTTGCAAACATTGGTTGTCTTCTAAAGAGAGCCTACGGCGTCACATACTGACCCAGCACATAAAACAAGCAGTACACCAATGTGAGCTGTGTTACAAGACTTTCATCCTCTCAACGTAAGAAGGGGTTGTCACTATATCATTCAGACAGGCCATATAGGTATACCTATATGTACCTACGTATGTTACCTACCATACACCAATATGAACTGTGTTGTAAAACTTATATACATCCTTTTATCATAAGTAGTTGATGAATAATTTAGACAGGCCATACACCAATGTAAGCTGTGTCACAAGACTTTCATCCTGTCAATGTAAGAAGTTGTCAATTTATGATTTAGTGTTTGATGATTAGTGATGATTTTACACCAATGTGACCTGTGTTGCAAGACTTATATCCTATCAATGTAAGAAGTTGTCAATTGATTATTTGGGCTGGTGGTGCATCTACCTATGTCACTTGTGCATCTGTGTTACACGATTTCAACCCTCTCAATTAAAAATGTTGATTTTATCATGATGACGTGAAATATTTTAGAGGAAGAACTTTTTGTTTAATGCTTCGATTTTATGTAACATCTTTTCCCAACAAAACTGTGTGTTTCCATGTGGAATTATTACTACCTACTCTATAGTAGTTAATGCATCTATAGTTGCCATTCAAATGGATTTTCAGGAACTCTTTATTTCTTAGATTGAGAATGTGAGAAATAGATTGCATGACTTGAAATTTTCTCAGTAAGTAAACTTCCTCAGGTTTTTACTATTCATAAAAATACATTTTAATTAATTTTCATAGCTTTCACAATCTTGGCACTCACAATGCATTGCTGAATGTCAAATTAGTCATTTATTGATGGCTTTCAATTTAGTTCATCAACTTGTTGACTTATTAGAAGTAAGATCAGCTCACTCCTTCATATTTAAGATGAAAATACCGTATTATGCTGCAGTTGTAAATCTAAAAATATTAACAAGAATTCTTATCGGAAATGTTTAGATTTTAACAAAATCATCTAAACCTCTCTGGCATTAGTTTTGTTACCATTTAGTAATGTGAGATTGATTAAATTTCTCGTTGTTACATAAATACAGATTGATTTTGAAGAATAAATGCATAAAGCTTTATTTACCTCCAGAAACATATTCTTATTCTTCTGATGATCTCTGTCTGTTTGGAATACCTATGTTTCATTTTCAAAACCAACAAAAAAGAAAGTACCTACGGTACATTCATAGTTTACTTGAAACATTAAAATGTTTCTAATTCAACATGCCATTTGACAACAGACAATTATTGGAGCACATGAAGGAGCACCACAAGGCCAGGAGTGATGCGTGTGAACAGCTGTGTTTATGTGGCCGGCTGTTCAGTAAACGCAACAGCCTTCTTAGCCACATCCGCCGCTTCCACCATGCAGCTCCTACCGTCCGCCCAACCTGCAGCATTTGCCATAAAGTTTTCAATGGTTTGTTCTCTTAATTATCGTGGTTACCTTGCTTAGTTTTCTTGCCGGAAATCAATAACAATATCCTGTGGTCTTCATATAAATTTTAAGTAGGTACCACGAAACCCTACGTTTTTAATTATACAAGTTGCTGATTTTTCAAATCACGTATCTAATTATTTTTGAATTTGTGAATTTTTAGTGTCTTGTTTGAAGTAATCAATGCTCCAATCAAATCAATATTTATTATTCAGTGAGTCTGAGTGATTAACTGAATTAGGGCGGAAGAAAATATACATTGGTTTCTGTCTACTGTATTCCCCCTGTATTTGTGTAGATATATCGTGTTTGTGAATCACATTTATGTTTGTATCGTGTCTGTGAATAAAAAAACTGCTGCATGCATCACCAGAAATAGGATTTATTTTTTTTTATGAATGTGATTGCATTTTATCCATGAATGAACACATTTATGTATGAATATGATTGCTTTTTATTCGTGAATGCGATCGTTTTTTTCATGGTTATGATAGAAATAGAAATTATTATAATACTAGTAGTAGTTCGTCAGATTGTGAACATACTTTGTTCATGATTATGAACACACATTGTTCGCGCACAGACTCGGCTACTAAGCGTGTTCACGAAGCTCGCGTGCATGGTGAGAAGGTTGTGCGCTGCGAACACCCAGGCTGCGGTAAAATGTTCTCCACTCAGGGGCTCAAAAACGCTCACCTCAGGTATAATTATACTAAAGTGATACCAGCAGGTATAATTTTGAACTTTTTTGTTCGAGTATCTAATTACAAACAGCAACATTACAAAGAATTGTAATGCTGGCAATGTTCTTTTTACTGCACGGTTTGCCAAATATTTCTCCAGATTCATTCCACATATACCTACTGAATTCACGAATCCCATGATTTTGCATAAGAACTTAATTTTAAGTTTAAATCCCGAGAGCTGTCTCGCCATCGCAGGAATTAAAATATTTCAGTTCATGTAAGCAAGATTAATGCAATAATCCTGTAAATCTTATTACCTGCATTATAAGATATCTTAGACTGTAACTAGTTTTAAGATTATAACTTAATTTTCAAGTTAATTTTGTGTAAACCTGCTTAGACGTCAATAAAAAGAGTAATAAAAAATTACTCATTACTGAAACTTCGCAGTCAAGTCTATGAAATGAGGGGAGCAAAATCAATTCTTAACATACGTATGATTCAAAGTTTACTGTATACTTCAAAATATATTTTGATAGGTTGGAAGTTTTGTATATATTGTGTTGTATTTTGATAAGTTAAGCCATCGGTTGCCCGCAGGTATCACGAGAACCGCGAATTCGAGTGCAGCGTCTGCAACAAGACTTTCAGCACGTCTTCATACCGCGACAAGCACGAACTTCTCCATCAAGGTGAATATTTTTCGAATATGTTTGTCATTTATTTAACTCAGAAACGAGCATGTTTCTGCTCTGCGCTGAAATAAATGAGTCTTGGATACCGGGCAAATTATGTGCACCAGAAAGGGTGTTAAAGAGGCACCTGTTGGCGAGTGTACGGGCACATCAAACCATCATGCATAACTGCCTTCAAAACAAACCAACTCATGTTAACTGCACGCTGTAGCGTTGCGTGACAGAACATGAATATTCATTAATAGAGCTGAATTCGCACAAATTGACTCGAATGGTTCGTTTCATTTATTTTTTTGCTGTTTACTTTATCGTAGAAGCTAAAAAAACTGACATCACAGGGATACAAATTCATGTATTGTCATATTTATGCCTAAACGCGCGATCGTTGAAAGCGGTTATATTTCAATATTTTTACTGGCAATTATTTCAGCTATTTAACTATTGTTGGTCAATAGCGTTGTATTTCATTCGTGCAAGTCAGCCGCATTTACATTGTTATAAGTAAAAAATATATTTTTTTCACTTCCATTGCTGCGAAAATAATGACGGTCTTATGTGTGCAGGAATACGACAGTACGCGTGTGACGACTGTGGTCGGGAGTTCATCACAGCTTCACAACTGAACAAACACCGCAAGCGGGAACATCTTCACGGCCCTTGAAGTTCTTCATGCTATTGACAGTTTATAGATTCTTCAGTTTAACTGATACTAGGAATAGTCACGATACCTTAATTTATTACAGTTTTACAGACAATCTTGTCTCGTTGAATTTACTGTTCTTCATTAGTTACTTAGTGCTCAATATAAACGATGTCGGAAATTTTACTTCAATTCTTTATAGCTCATTATAATGCTACGAACTTCATTTGCACGAATGTGGTCAACATTTGATCATTAATGTATTGCTGTTTTTTTTTTAATTTTACCTCGACAAAATCACAAAATTTCTACGTTAATGATATTTAAATGCTTAAGATGAGTGTTGTTGACTTAGCTGGTACTTTATTGTGATCTAGATGATCTTCTGGTTTAGTCAGGCCTGGATCTTTGTGATACTTCGAATTCGTTAAAAAAGTATTTTTTTTGTAATAATATTTTGTATCAACCAAATCCTTTTTCCATTCTTCAATATGCAATACGGAATACAATGGCCCGTTGTGTTTCAATCACGATGCAATTAAACTAAAAACTTACATTAGCAGGTAAAATTGATGTTTATCTGCAAGATCACATATTACGTTATAAATACTACCCTTGTTTAACACTAGATATTGGAGAGATATTATAGATATTTCTGTTATATCCTAGTTATGTGGTGCCTAATGACAACAATGGCAAAATTCCTAATGCAGCTGAAAACCTGGGGCGCATTCCACAATATAGTCATTAAAAATTATGATATCTTTGTGATGGGACATGCACCTTGTTCGCCTCCACGCTTACATATAGACTTGTATTAGGAGAGTCATTCATTTTACAACTCTTCTCTTTAACTTCACTTCTTGTTGTTTGTTTGTCTGTCTGTTTTGTTTGTTTATCTGTTTTGTTTGTTTTTCTGTCTGTTTGGGTTGTTTGTTTGTTTGTCTGTCTGTTTTGTTTTGATCTTATAATCGATAGATATTTAACACACTTTTACCAGTCCAATCGATTTGAAATTTTGCACACTTGCGTAAAGTCGGAGACAATGCGCGAATAAAGTGACAGAATAAATAATTTTGAAAATGTAAAATTTGTATGTATTGAGAAAAAGTTGAAATTAATTTTTTCAATATTCAACAATAAAATTAAAAATTCATTGTACATGTGTAACATTGGAGACACTGGATTCTTTAGAAGTGTTGTCTTAAAGAAGTAATTTTTAAACGCATATTAATTATACATCATACCGTTGACATTTTTGTACTTGCATCTATGTTGGTGATGTTCCAATTTGATGATTCTGAGAACTGATTTTAGGTTTCTTTCGTTTTGCAGATTCTTTATTAATATTATTCATTTAATAACTAAATTTTCGTTGAACAAAATCTATACCTCATCTAAGGTTCAAATAAGTTCAATCCATACATCAGCTAAGGTTCACAGACGATGAAAGATCATTTTACTTAAAATTCTTCAGCTGCCTTATAAAAAAACGAATCAATTACCGCTGCTTAGCGGAATGAAGCTTAGAAGCGGAATGATCATAAATATTGAGCGGAAAATTTTGTTGAAATTCGTGTCAAATTTTCTCGAAGGTAAGTCGAATAACTGCGAGAAGGTGAATTTAGATGAAACGAAGCGTGTTGACTGTTGACTCGGGTGACGTAGTGATACTAGTTCAGTGTTATTTACGAACATTTATTAATATTGCATGAAGACTTAAGGAATTCATAAGGAACGAGATTTGAGTTCCTTATGAAATTAGTGAAGCTATAGTATAATACATTATAATTTTATGTAGTGAGGCAAGCCATCATTATACACTGACTCTTTAAGTGAGAAAACGGTGATACAAAAGACACAATATGAAATTACTGTGAAACATTTTGCAAAACGATAATGAATACAGTTTTTTTGCATTACCGTACTAATAGTGTGGTTCAGATTATAAAGTACATTTTGATAATGAAAATTTGTAAGTTAATGTTATCTGTACAGCCGCTACTTAAAAATGTTTATTAAATAATTATTCTTAGCTAGTAAGCTTCTTTGCTGTCCTCATCTCTTCCTCATGTTAAATTTGAGAAAAAAATTCTTTTAAATATTGTCCAAACTATTAATGTCAAAAAGGAATTGTTTCTGTTCATTGCAAAATCTGAATTCGTCTGCATCGCGATGATGCATCGCCATTCCTTCACTTCACTTCCTCTCTGATGGCAGAGGACGTCATCACTGGCTGGTAAAATTCGGTCTATCAACCTAACCAAAATCTGAAAAATAACCTAATTTCCGAAAAAATCTCAATTATGTTTCTATTATTTGTAAATGTAATGGGAAATTAAATATACAAATTAATAGATATTTACGCTTGTGCAGTTGCACTTAAGGAAGTGAGTGGGACTTTGTGAAAATAACAAGCCACTTTTTGCCCTGAATCTGTTATTCTGACACAGTTTGGCCCTATGAAATAGCGTAGCCGCTGCCTGTGGGTAGGAAAGTATATCACTATTTCAATAATATAACCCATTGATATTAATCGGTGTGATGTGATGAGCTTTTCATAACCTAAAAGCTTCATTAACTTCAATTTTCACTGGAAAACTGGAAGCGTTTACATGACGAGATGGCACTTCAAGCTGCGGCGTGCTGGAGGCCTGTGTGAGATCAACGGTCTGTGCAACAGATGATGACATTCCAATTAAAAGTACTGAGTTAAGTCATGAACAACTGTTTATTCAAGTCATGCAGCGTACGCATGACCGGCATGCCAGTGTCGTCTGAGCGATGGTCGTTGACGGCAAGAGTTTTCACAAGTTTTGGCTCCGGTAGAAACTCTCACTTGAAGGTTTTCAAACTAAATCTAAATAATTCTGCAATGCGTATTTTGGAGACTAAAAAAATAACAGAACTCATACTCTTCTTGACATTTCATAACTTCTAGCGACTGTACGCAGGGCAGTGGTTTGAAAAAAGTAAGCGCCTCGCCCAGTTAACTAGTTTTTTTCGTGTCCGTTCTCGACTTCTGTTTAAAAAAAAAAATTGGTTAATGTTTATCTTGCTCTGTTCCTTGTTGTTTGCAATTCGGTCAGACCTCTCAATTGAAAAAAATTGTCACGAACAAATTAACATAACATAGCGATGTCGGCGCTGAAGAGTAGGCCTGATGTGGCCTGTCGCCGATTCTTGTACTCTTCATGACTTGTTCATAGGAGCTCTAAAAACAGGTCCTTTGACCGGATCTTTTCAAAACTGACGATAGTTTGAAATAGCTACTAGACGTCCACCGGGTTCGATATGGTGCTAGTATAGTACTATTAGTACATGTTCGATATCGACAGATAGTATACTTATCAGTATACTACGATTTGATCCATATAAATAGTCATAACTGAAATAATCGAAATGACGTAATATTTTCAATGATTTGGTTTGTGCCTGGTAATAAAACATTTCTGTGGCCTTCAGCCAAAGGCCGTGCTAAATTCAGCGGCAAAAAGCAATGTCCGAAGTCCACGACCTTCCCGTGGCGCTCAACGACCGGGGTTCGTATTTGTGGCACTCAAACTCGGTTTCAACATCGAATCTCGGGTTTGTATTTGCCTAAATATGAACTATTCTAATTATTCAGACGTCTCAGTCGCCGATGGAGATCACCCTCTTATTTTTTATTTGCTTTTGAAAATTTCTAAACGAAGTTATGACCCAGTTTCCATTGCAGCGCTCGACCTCGCTGATGTGCGACTGAAACGCTTAAACTGAGGAAACTTTCCAGGGTTGCTGAATTCCAAGGATGATCTGAAGTTGCTTCGTGAAAATGAATGCCTTGCTTGAGAAGATTAAATTAATACCAATTTGAGGACTATTCGAATATTCTATGGCTAATATTCAGACTTCTATCTTCTTAATATTATTTCATACGCTCTAAAAATTACGCTGATAAGAAAAATTTCAGGGAAATTTTGAAAAGTTCGAAGTTTAATAGCTTGAGACATACGAATAAAAATTGTCACCTCTACTAAGTAAAAACCTAGTAAATTCATGGATAATAAATGAATTTTTTTCAAATTTAAAAAATGCCAAGTTTCCACTGTAGCGCGCAGACCGCCGACAGCGGGCAAGGTTCCACTCGACTAATGGGATATTGTGCGAGTTCTATTAAACGTTCCTGTTTGGCGTATTAATATCAAGACTTCAAAAGACTCCCATCAAACATTTTCCGACGCAGGGTCGGGGATTTTCAGTCCAAAGAAATTCTAGCCAGAGAAATGGAGGGGATATTAAAAAGTCAGTCACTGTGTTTGTTCAGTAGAAGGGGCAAGAAAAATCTTAATTGTAAGGCTACGTCGTCACTGCGGACGCAATCAGCGTCGGTTCCTGATAGGCAATTTCCAGGCACATTTTTTTACTGGAATCCCGATTGGATATACTAACCGCCAGTGTCCTGGATTTTATCAGTAGTTCCTTCTAGAATAAAGTCGAATGGCTGGTCGCTATATATTGCGCTAAAAGTTGTCGGTTTCGTGATAACGAGACCTGATCTACTCATATTTGCATCATGGTTATAATTAATCAAAATTTATTCAGATTAATCCGAAATTCATTCATTCTTCGCATTACATAGAAACGACATTTCGGAGTAACATGAATTCGCTTTAATTATAATGCAGTGTACTGAAATGGCATCTATCACTCAACCGAGTCCCTTTTCACTCAATCTAGGTTTATTTGAATCTTTAAATTAGTCTGTTTGATGCATGCAACGCAATTAACGCCATCATTCCGAACACAAACATTTCTTTGCCGTCTCATCATAGGATCGACGAACGAACCTGTCGTCATGGTGACGGGCTATTTACAAACTGCCTCTGACCAGACCTGCTTGAAAAGTTCGTTGAGCTTAGCAAGGAATTTGCCTCTTCATTACTTTAAGAGATTTGACGGTCAGTTGCAGAATTGGTTCAGCGTTTGAGTTTCGACTTTTAAAGTCGGGCTTCTACGTGCTTATGGAGTAAAGTTCGGTCACAGACGCGCCTTTGAAGTTGACTGAATTGCGAAATGGAAGTGGATTTTGTATCTTTACTGAAGTATGGAGTTGACTGTAGTAAAGATTTCTAACCACGACATCAGCGTTAATTACAACTGCACGGGTAAACTGAGCAGATGATCAGAAGCTGAATCCTTACGCGTGTTAATACTTTTCAGACTGATTTTAGTCATGAAAATAAAAAAATTGGGAGTTTTGACATCATTCAGCAGTCGCACTATTTTTTGTAAGAAAACTGAATA